AACAGAGAATTTCCTGCACTGCACCCTCCAGAAAGAGTAATCTAAAACCATGGCTTTTAGCCTTGGCTGCACAATGGAACCACCCGGGAAGCTTTAGAAAAACTGATGGCTGGATCCCGTCCCAAGTATCTGATTATCCAGCACCCAGGCCAGAATACTTAAAAGCTCCCAGGTGATCTAATGTGCAGTCAAGCTTGAGAATTCACAGATCTAAAAGATTAGGGAAACTGGGCTCAAGAGCAATGATTAAAGAGCCAGGTCTGGATACTGCAGAGGAAGGAAGGTGAAAAATGCTCTTCAGTCGACTTTCCATTATCCATATCAAATGAAGGGAGGAGTGTCACAGACAACGGTAAGATCTTAAATTTGAAATTCCTTTATAGTTTGCAAAGCATTTGATCTTATTTTAACCTCACCACAAGCCCACGAGGTAGACGGGGGAGTTATGTTTATCTGATGGATGAGGAACAGGAGCCTCAGAGAGGTAAGCGATTTGCAAAGATGGAAATGGGAGGATCATGTTGTGAGAACCATAATCCAGAATGTTCAGCAGTGTAAAAATTCAAATTATTGTTACTGCACTGCTAAACTTTTTTTCCTGCTGAGTGAGAGCAAACTCTGCTCATGGATAAATGACAGTATACCTTTAAGACAAGAAGAAGTGGCAGAGAAAAAAACCCAACCAAAATGAAAAGCTCCTCAGAAAGCAGATAATGCTGAACTGACTTCATACTAGGAACAATGACCAGCTGTTGTTGCTTTATTTCTTCCTCTGTATATCTAAACCTGGCCAGAAGATTGGTATGGCAACAGACACTAGACAGTCAGGGAACTTTCTAGCTTTCTCATCCATGACACCTTCAGTTGGAGTCTTATATGTGATTCTTGAAGGATGGTGTAAATGTGGGGCTGATGCTTCTGCAAATTGCCTTGGTGTGGGATTAAAGGCGACAGAGTTCTTTGAAAGAATAAGATGACATTGCAATAGTAAGTAATAAGGAAAACCATTTTGATGTTTAGCTATTCAGATTTTCCAAGAGTAAATCTTTCAAACCTTTGAGATTTTAGGTTGCTCTCTTACTCAGAAATTAGGAAGCTGGTTTTGGAGGGGCATCTCATATATTTTACCATCCACTTTCTTGTTGCAATAGCATCCCATTTCACTTCATATCATCCTTGTTAGGCTGTGATCTGGTGACCCAGGTCCCCAGATAGGCACAAGATTCAGGCTGGGTCAGTCATTGTCCCTCATCCCCCAGCAATAGTAACTAGTCCAAGGGTGGCATACATCCAAGCAGGGGCAATCAAGGTGTGTGTTGGTTACAGATTAGTAACCACAGCATCCACAAAGATAAACCCCAAATCTCAGTGGTTTACAAACAGAAGTGTATTTGTAATTCACATAAGTCCAACGTGGCCTTCCATGTGGTCATTCAGGGACCCAGACTTCTTTCAACTTATGATTTCCCTCTCTTCTGGGGCCTCAGAGTCCTCTCCATTCAACCAACAAATGGGGAAGAAGATAGAGAATTACTTCTGGCAGGTTTTTATGGGCCAGGAAGTGGAGCCTTTTATATCTGCTCACATTCCATTGGCCAAACTCAGTTATATGGCCACCCCTGAGGCGAGGGCCAGGAATGCCCTCTAACTGTGAGCACAGGAGAATGAAGAAGCAGGTTTGGTAAACAGCTAGCCAGGCTCTGCCACTAATCCCCTTCTTTGGGATTAGTGTATGACTGTTGGGAGTGCTAAACTGGGGGCGTGTCAGCCTGGAACACCAGCACCCATCTTTCCTGGCTGCAGAGAGGGATGTGACTACACTAAAAGACTTGTCACCCACCACACAGGGAGGCAGAGCCAAGAGATGGGTAAAGAGAGAGGGAGAGGGAGAGGAAGGGGGACTGAGAGAAGAGGAGGAGGAGGAGGAAGAGGAGGAAGAGGGAAAGGCAAGAGGGGAGGGGAGGAGAGAACCGCTTCTGTCGGTAACAACCCTAGACTTCCCAATTATGGATGCCCTCAGGACCAGCTACATAATTTGCAGGTTCATAAGTGCAAAATTAAACTTGGAGCCCCTTGCTGAGAAGTGATTAAGAATTCCAAGACAGCAAAGCATTAAACCAAATATGGGGCCTTTCTGAGCCCTGTGTGACTGCACAAGTCACACACTGTGAACTTAGGTGGTCTTGGGAGTCACATGTGCCCTTTGGTGCCTCTGCCAGTTTGATCTGGCTTTTTCTCACCTGCAGCTGAAACTGCTGACTAGTACAACAGCATTGCCCTAGTCTCTGTCCCTAAGAAGTTATAAACCCTCCAATTTGGAAATTTTAATGAATCTGTAGGATGTTTATGAGTCCTGGCATATAGTTCTGTATACAGAGGATATCAGTAAGTGTTGATCAAGTAAGTCTTTCCCTGGAGGTCTCTTCTGGTTCTAGGATTCCATGAATCTGCTTAGAGGTGTACATATCTTTTTACAAGAGATATGTTCCCTAAAAGTTTGTGTAGACATTAGTTCTTTGTGAACCAGATCCTATCTTCAGAACCTGCTCTCTAAGGAACTTCATGGAGGAATCCTTTTGTCAGGCCAAGAATCAATCCTTTCAAAAGTACAGATTTCCCAAAATTGAGTTTGCTGAATGTGAAGCACACAAATGCTCTCCTCAGTTCCATGGTGAATGCCTGCTCCAAAAAGCAGAAGTCTCCAAGGTTCCCAGCCCCTGCCCCAGCACCTCTGCTTACCACCAAGCCCTCACCACCAGACAAAATAAAAAAGGTTGCACTTAAAAGGGTGAATTACACATACCTTTCTCTGAACTCTGATGAAGTTGATTGGATTCTGTGGCACATTGTGGCTTCTCTTAGGAAAATATCCCCTGGCATTGGTTTCTGTGTCACCTTCTTAATCCCAGAAAGAATTAGTTGAAGCATTTGTGACTACCTGCCCTGACCAGAGTTAATCAGCACAGGAAAGAACAGTATTTCCAGAGTCATTCCACCTCCCTCTCCAGTGAACTTGTTTCTAGGAAGGCCATACTGAGCAAGGAAAGGCACTGGTAAAATAAGGGATTATAGCAATCTGGATTCATTTTGAGACCACACATCTCCCTGGGTCATTTTGACCAAAAATGTCCTTGGGAAATTTTACCTCCTCCAGGAAGCCTTCCAGAGTAATTCAGAGAAGAAGTAAAAACTCATCTTTGTCTTATCTAGCTAGAATGCTTACAGGTAACCACACCCTGCCACATCTCCTTTATGGTTATTACACATAGAGGTGCTCAGTAAATATTTGATGAATAAATGAATGAATTCTTAAGAAACGTATTGACTACTCAACATGTGCCAGGCATGTCTTGGGAGACAACACTGAAATCAGACATGGACCCTGGGCTCAAAGAACATGCAGTCTAATGAATGATACAGACACATCATAAATGCCACAATATTCGTTCATCTCTTCCTTCTAGATTAGCACCTTACTAAATATTATAATGCTAATTTGATATAATATGTAATGATATAAAACATTCCAATATCCCCTTTTAACAAATGAGTCAAGGTGTTAAATTAATTTTAAATAATATAAAAATGATTTATCACTGAAAAAATTTTGAAGTAACAGATTGTGTTTTGTGCAGAGACCATATGAATATTAAGACAAAGGCTAAAATTTAACTACATGGTGAGAGATGGCGTCAAGAACAGACATAAACTCTTTTCCTTACCTACTATTGGAATTCTTGAGATTTCCCCTGAGTTGTTTTGATAAATTTTAATGTTCCTAATTGGCAAGAAAAGGGGAGCAGGTCTTAGATTGCTATTTGAAGGCATGTCTTGGAAAAGAAAACGTGGGTGTGGTATTTTCATCAAATGAAAAGTCAAATTATGGGGCTGGCCTGGTGGCGCACTGCTATAGTGCGCCGCTTGGGAAGCGTGGCGGCGCTCCCGCCGAGGGTTCGGATCCCACATACAGACCAGTGCCCGCTCACTGGCTGAGCGAGGCGCGGGAGCAACACCGAGGGTTGCAATCCCGTAGCCGGTCCCGGTCCGGTACGGGGGCGATACTGAGGGTTGCGATCCGTTGCTGGACACGGGAAAAGACAAAAAAAAAAGAAAAAAGAAAAGAAAAGTCAAATTAGATACATTGTCACTATCACTTTTAAACTTTACCTTTCAATGTATGAAAAAAGAAAAGTCAAATTAGATACATTGTCACTATCACTTTTAAACTTTACCTTTCAATGTATTAGAGAATCTTGGTTGCTGTGGAAGAATTTTACTCAAATGACTACAACAAGGGTCTGAGCATCTTTAGGCTAATTAGGAGAGTTGTTATCATTTGCATGCAATCGTTAACTTATTGCATGTCAACACAATCGTTCCATAAGCAGTCGGTCTTTAAACAATATTTCATCATGGAATGAAATAACACCATATGACCAAGCATAAAACAAAGTGCAACATTCTTGTCCATGTGAGGGGCTTGATTATACCCTACCCAAAGAAATAACCTGCAAGAATCATTTGCTAGGAATAGTTAGGGAAATGCGAATACAAACTGGGTATTTGATGATATTAAGGAATTACTGTCAATTTTGTTAGGAGTAATAGTGGTAGTGTAGTTACACAGGAAAACTTTCTTGTTCCTTTGCAGTGCATACTGAAGTGTTCAGGGATGAAGTGTCAAATATTTTATATTACAATATTTCACCAAAAAAATAAAGCAAATATGGCAAAATGTTAACTATTAAACTTTGGTGATGGGTATATCGGGGCTCCTTAAATTTTCTACTTTTTTTGTGTGTTTGAAAATTTTCATAATAATTTTAAAAAGCCACAAAGTAAAATACAATGTAGTCGTCAGGTGGGAGTGGTCCAGACCCTACCCACTGCAGCTAGTGGCTGGGGGTGTCGAGCTGGGCGCAAAGGGACTGCCCGTCTGAGACTCCAGTGTGCTCAACCCGTCCCCTCCCCACACCACTGCTCATCAGACACTCGCAGGAGACTCTCAAATTTTCTTTTTTAATTGTTATTGAGGTTTTAAAAGAGAAATGGAAGCAGACATCGATAGTCCGTTTAACAAACTGAATCCAGAGGAACAGCTTCTGGAGCCCCATGAGTCTGGGTGCCACCAGCTGGGATCGGCTGTAGCAGGACAGCTGGTGTGTGAGGGGGCTGTTGGGTTCTGTCCGTCATGACTGAGGTTGGCAGGGAAGGTTTTCATGGGCGGCTGGTTATTTAAACTTAAAAATGAACAACACATTAAAAGCCTCAGATCTTCCTTTTGCTTGGGGAGAATAGCTACGTGTAAGGTGGTAGGAGGGAGAGAAAACGTAGGCGTTCTCCTCACCAGCCTCCTGTGCACCTGTTCCAGGTGACCCGTGGCTGACGCACATCCAGGGCTCCCAGAAGGCCCACCGCTTGTAGGCAGGCTTTTTTCAGTGTTCCCCCAACACTTTCCCTACCAATCTCGTTGTCTGCTTACAAGGGTCGCTTCTGCTTATTCCAAAACTTGTTTAGGCCAGTTGTTCTTACAGTTCTGGTTAAATCACACGCAAACCAATAAAACAAGTGTAGAATTCTTGTTAGACAACACGTACATGTCACAAAAAAGTGAACAGAGCCTGGACCTACATCAAGTTTGCCAACTGAATGAACCTTTTTATAGCTCTAAAATATGTAAGATGTTTAAGGTGTATATTTTTACTTGTGATTTTCAGTTTCCACCAATTATGTTAATAAGCCAACCAACTCCTTCATCTCTATAGCGTTGGATGAGAGCGTTTCCACCACCGTACGATTCTCTGTTCACAGCCAAGTGAGAATAATTCAAAACAGATCATTAAAAAAATAGTTTTTTTTCCCCATTGAGCTAGGTCAGGGAAAATACAATTCTCCCCATGTTGATTTACATCCTCCTGGCATTTTATTTACAGTACTGTTAAGATCCATTTGCATTTTCTGAGGACACACTGGTAGTTGGGGGTAGACAGATCCACCAAGCATCCCCTTAAACCCCACTTCAGCCCCAGAGTGTGCGGGGAGGCCACCTGGCCTTCCAGATTTGCCATGGATGATCCATGCATTGGATAATCCACAGGCCCATCATCAAGATCTAACCATGTCAGAAAACGGGAGGCCAGTGAAGCCTGTAGGAAGCTCTTGTGGAACGTTTCACTCAGGTGCCTTGAGGTAAGTTAGAAGTTCGGGAATCTTACTTTCCAGGGAAAGCAAGAGAGCAGGTGTGACCAGAAACAGAAGAAACCTGGGAGTTGAGAGACCTGGCTCTCTAGGGCAGCAAGTCTGAAGGCCTTGAAGCTTAGCCTCTGGCAGGAGTTGCTGGGGAATGGCCACAACCACGTGATGACACCCCCAGCTACCTTTCTTGGAGAGCAACTAAGACCCCCATGCCAGCGCCACGGTGAGAGATGGATCAGACTGCAGGCAGGTAGAGATATAGCCTTTGGACCTGTCCCATCATAGCACAGGACTCAAGGACTCTGGGCCAGAGACTATTAGTACAGAAACAATGTCACTGCACACAGGGACATGGCTGCATTTTAAGGCAGAAGAAGCTGTACCTCTCTGAGCCTGTTTCCTCATTCACTAGCTGTAGAGAGTTGATCTCATAGTCTCTGTGGTTCCTTCTGGCTCTGCCACCCATAAGGCTGTAACCCACCTGCAGTGGTGAGATTAGCCAGTCCTAGCAAAGAACGGACACTATCCAACAGGTCCCTCACCTGGGGAGAGGGGGTTTATGGGACATCTTGAAGTTGAGATGAGAACCTAGGTCTGGGCAAAAAGGCAGGCAACTCTCCCCCTTCCGGACCGAAGAAGGGATGGGGATGGGGCCATTGAGTCTCTGTGAGGCAGGGAAGGGGCGCTCCTGGAGGGATACTGGTGCAGGGGAGAGAGGGCTCCTGCTGCAGCTCCAAGTCCAGGATCAGCCAGAGAAAGAGGGTGGGCAGGGAGAGGTTGCTCCATCCTACAGCAGTGTCTTGGGCCACCTCTTTGATCTCCTCATCAGGGGTGGGTGGGGAGGTTCCTGGACCCGCACGAGGTCACGTGCCTATCAGGCTCTCTGGCAGGTGGCTCAGCTCCTGGGCAGAGGAGTGGCAGGGGTCAGTCAGCTTTGGGCACGTGGAACTCGGGCATGCTCCAGACCCGTGGCAGCGGCGGTGCGACCCGCTCCACGTCCTCCGAGATGGTCCGGATGTCACTGGCAAACGGCGAGATGCGCGCGCGGGTCTTGAAGGGGGCCAGGCTGCTGCGGGGCCGCAGGCTCCACTGCCGTGTCAGCTTGTGGGCCTCCTCCTCCTGCTTCATCCTCTGCAGGACTTCCTGCAGCACCGAGAGGAAGAGCCGGGACACCTCCTGCACCTGGGGCTCGTGCTCGGCCAGCAGCTGCCGGAACCTGGCAGGAAGGGAGGGTGTGCTGGGGCCATTCACCAGCTAACACTGGCCTGGCACGTGGCCGGCGCCTAGACCTAAGGGGCTTCCTGGGCATCCCTTGGTCAATTCCCACCTCTGCCCTACTCCTGAGGTCAATCAGGAACCCCCGCGCCCACGTGGCTATTGCTCTAGCCCATCCTGAGTTCAAATACCAGACCTGCCGCCATGAGCCACAGCTTCCTCTTGGTAATTGGCGTGATAGCTACCTTTTTATGCGGTTTAGGGCACTCACATATATAAAGATCATGACACTTACCTTAGGTCATGAATGCCAGAGTATTCAGGTGAGCCCCCTGCTATGGCAGCCTTACTGATGGGAGGCTTTCTGGCTAACCCTCTCCCACCCTTTGCAGGCGTGGTCTCTCTGGTCACATATCTGATTATATCAGGGCCCTGTCCTGAGACATTCCTTCCTCAGCTCCCTGTCACCTTCTGGGTGAGGGTGAGCTGTTTGGCCATGAACATCAGGTCCCCGGCTACTTCTCCAGAGGACCCTGTACTCCAGCCGAGAAGAACACATGTGGCCCCCACATTCCCCAAGTTCTCCTGGGTCTCTGAGTATTTCCCTAGTCATTTTCCTCTGCCTAGAATGTCTTTGCTTAGAGCTCAGGAATTAACACCAGCAAGTCTGTTTAATACTTGGTTTCCTCCACCATATGGAGAGGCAAGACTTCTCAAGCTTCTCAGCAGTGATATGAACTGTCAGTGACAGGACAGTCATCCCTGTGTGTGTTCCCAGCCTTTCCCCCTCACTTACGATGTGTGCTTTGCCAACCCAGATTCCCCCATCAGCACCACCACCCCATGACTCACCCTCACCCCGTCCCCAGGTGCTTCCAAGCGAGATACATTTTGGGGGGCTTTCATAGCACAGAATCAGAAAAATGGGGGAGGGAAAGATTCTCAGCTTGCAGGAAGAAAGAGAAGAGGGTGGGGGGAAAAACCCAAAAAACAAAAAGCCACTATAAAAACCAAAGGAGAGTGGATAGGGCTGGAGAAGTAGAAGGAGTTTTTAAGGGGAATTTAGAAGAAAAAGGTGTACGATAGATGCATACGTTGGTTAAAGGGATGGGTGAGGGGAGATTTGGGGAGACTAAGGGGAATTTTTAAATGTTTTATTGTGGATTCGTATTCCTTTACTAGTATTTGAGAAATGCAGATAAAGAACTTGAGCAATTTTGAAATTATTCTTGGTTGTTGGACCAGAGGCTTCATTGATTGCAATGCCAATCCAACAGAGGCGGGGCCACGCAGGTCACAGCTTCATTTAGGTTACATTTATATTCAGAAACACTGTTGTACCCCAGGGCTCTGAACCCTTTATACACAGACTAGTGTGAAAGCCAGTGTGAAATAGGATAATTAAGAAACCAGTTTTGTAGAGATTGTCTGGGAAAATAAGACAGACAAGGTCACACTGAAGATAAACTGATGGAGGAGAAGGAGCCAGCTATGCTAAAATTCAGGGTAACAACAATTGGGAAGGGAGAACAGAAAGCTTAAAGGCCTGGGGCCCATCAAACTCATGCGCTTCCATGTCCTCCTTCCCGCTGAACCCCAGCCCTGGCCTGGTGCTCCACGGCCCCCTTCAGGTTCCTCTCCCTGCCTTGCTCCTTCTAACAGATAACTGGGTCCTCCAGGCCCCCACCACGGCAGCCACCCTCCCTGGAGCCTGCAGCCCAACAGCTGGCCCCTGCCCAGGGCTACCTGAGGATGGCGGGCCCACAGTAGGAGGGGTGGATCTGGGCGCAGACATCCTCCAGCTGCAGCCGCTCGCCGGGGCTGAGGTCGTAGGTGGGCCGGGGCGTGCTGGCCAGCCAGCTGTAGTCCACGCCGGTGCAGATCTTCCTGACCGCGTGGCTGCGCTCCCGCTGCTGCCTCTCTGCCTCGCGCATCTGCCCCGCCAGCTCCATCATGAGCGTCTCCAGCACCATCTCAGCTGAGCTCCGGGACGACAGCCGGGATGGGGCCTCATTCCACCGGAGCCAAGAGATGAGGGACATGGCCCCTCAGGCCCTGCTGAGACAGAGAAGGAGGAGGTCTTCCCTGGGCCCCCGTGTCGGCTGGGGTGGAGATCAGGAAGACCCAGGACAGGGAGGAGGGACCCAGGTGAGAAGACCTGCTTTGCCCTCAAAGGGTAGCCTCAGGTAGGTTGCTTAACCTCTCTGAAAATCATTTCTAAATCTGTAAGACAGGAGAGGGCTCTCGTGAGAAACAATGTGAATAAACTTGGTACACTATAAGCACCACATAAAAGTTAGATACTCTCTTGGTTATAACAGTCCTTAAAGTATCCAAATGATTGAGCCCAGAGAAATTGTCTCCTAAATCCCCACTACCTCCAAACAAAGCAGGAAACATACTGTGTATGGCTGAGCACAATCTTATCCCTATGATTTAAGGGGAAAGCACACACACACGCACACAGAACAGATGCTTACATCCTGTCAACCTAACAGGAAAACACCCTGTTTCTAAAGGCCTCCAGCCTATTGCTTAAGGACACTTAGAACTGTATGGGGTTAACATCATCCTGAAAAAACCCAGTGTACCCACCATTCATTCATTCATTTACTCACCATTCATCCCTCAGCAAGCATTAATTAAGCACCAGGTACACTTCTGTGGGGGGACGCAAACATGAAAGCATGTCAGGGACCCTGTTTTCCAGGAGATGCAAGACTTGAAGAGTAAAAGCCACCACGTCAGTGGAAAGAGGTAACTGGGATTGGTGAAGCCCAGAGTGAGCGCTGGAGGGGGCGGGGGGTGTGCCTCTAGGTGCTGAAAGGGGCCAGGGAGGCTTTGTGGATGAGAGCAGGCTGAAGGGTGAGTGCAGGCTTCAGACGCCCAGGCTGGCAGAGCTGGCGTCTCAGGCAGAGGACCCAGCCATGGTACAAGGTGAGACGTGTACAAGGAGCTGGCTGAGTGGAGCAGCAGGTTGGAGGGCAGGAACCCTAATCATCACTGTGCTCGCACAGGGTCCTGCCCAGCACAGGTCTGGTGGATGACAGACTGACCAGGTGAATGGATGAATGGATAAATGAATGCGTGGGTGAATGAGCTCCATCTGCAGCATGGCCCTTGCCTGACAGACATTGGTTTGTGCCTCTGACGACAGTGAAGGGGAGGGCCATTCCCAAGCTAAGCCTGAAGTGGGTCTTCAAGGTGCCCACCTCCCCTTTTCTCCCCCTCCCCCTTCCACCCCCTGAAGATCCTCTTCCTGCACAGCCTTCCAGACGCTGAGAGAAGAGATTCAATGAACTCAGTCTCGACAACATGGCCAAGAGGGATGTGTCGCCTCCTGAGGACATACATATTTTCAGGTAGTTCTCCCACCACCCTGCACCCCCGGTACTTAATTAACCCACAGAAATGAATTCTTAATGGTGGAGAATCAGATGTAAATGGCAAAGTTATTATGGGCTAGCAGTAGCCTTATGGGATGTCACAATGAAACCTTCTACTTCCTATGTAGATTTGAATGATCAACTCCCTTAGCAACATGAAAGTTAGAAAATCTGAAAACTCTCATTCTCCACTCACCTAACTATCACCAGTGGGGACCTCGGATTATGCCGCTGACCCCTCCCATGGAAGGCTGGGGGGCAGGACAGTTCATCAGACCCTGCTGTTGGGGCAGGGGCAGCTAGGACCTTTTCTTTTCAGCCCTTAACTGTTTCATGTGACCAGATAATGGGGTTGGGCCATAGTGTATGTGTTGGAGCACGCAGGATGGAGGCGGGTTGTGTTTTGTCCTGAAAGCTCAGCACCAGCAGCCTCTGCCTGAGGCTGAGGGATTTCAATTCAGGCACAGGAAGATGTTGTAACTGAATGTGTCACCCTTCCTGAAGAGTTTGTGTTTTTAAAAGTGCACGGGTCACCAAAGGAATGAATGGCATCACTTCAGGTATTAATTCACCGCCACTGAAGAGACTCCAAATATGTGTAGGTCATCCTTCCTGCAAGGGCTATTGAATGTGCTGGGCTAATTCACAGCCCCATGCCTTTGTCAGTGATTCTCCTGCTGCCTGTAAAGCCCACGCAGGTCTGCCTAGGGACCAGTTCTAGGCTGGGCTCTCCTCGGAAGCCTTTTCTGACCCTCCCATCTCCCAGGTAGATGTGGCCACTCTCTACCTCATACCCCGACTGCACCCTGCACAGACTTTTTTCATAGCACCAGGAATACTTTACAGAGCGTGACTCTCTACCTCCCCTGACACTGGTATGCGATGAGGGAGCAGGTGTCATGCCTTATTCTCCTGGTGCTGGTACATAGTACACAGGTGCTTAATAAATACCACACAAGTGAATGAATGAAAGCATGAGCAAAGCAACAAACAAATGATGGCTAAGTCATTGTCTGTATCAAGGAGCAAGCCCCACAGACCAGACCGACCCGGAACAAGAGGGCATTTGTCAGATACCATGGGAAGGACGACCTTTCCTCTGGCCCTTGTGGCTTTGTACTCTCATGTCTGTATCAAGGAGCAAGCCCCACAGACCAGACCGACCCAGAACAAGAGGGCATTTGTCAGATACCATGGGAAGGACGACCTTTCCTCTGGCCCTTGTGGCTTTGTATTCTCCCTGTCAAGGCGAGATCCCTCCAAGAGCCTGTGAAGACCTAAGACCTGACGGCCACCTGAGTGGCCCCTGTGGCTTAGCTGTGGGTCATCAGGGGAAGGGCTGTGTATGCACCTGTAGCAGGGTTAGTGTTCATCTATCCTTAGGGTGGTCTTTAGGGGAGTCATAATTGTCAACTTCGCTGAAAACGTTACCTGAGGACCAGATATGGGCAGAGAGTTGTGGGGCCACAGGACATGAGATGCCTCTGCCAGAATGACTCCCACCCCTCCTCCCTGCTGAGCCTCCTCCTGCGAGGCCACCTCTTTCCCCAGGAAGACTTCTTTGGTTGATGTCCTTCAACCCCTCCACCCCATCGTGTTCCCCAATACCACCAGGCCACCCTGTCACCGGCCCCTGAATGCCGGGCACCCAAGCCTCGAGCTTCACCAACCTGGAAGGTGACCAATGAGGAAGAAGCTGATGAGGCTCTCTAACTCTCCCGACCGCTCCCGTCCTGCGAGCCTGGCCGCCTGCCGCGCCCCCTGCTGTCCGGAGGCTGCCCCAGCCCCGTCGGGGCTCTGCTCCACTGCCCTGCCCTGCTTTGCTTCAGCTGCTGGGGCTCTGGCGGAGGCCGTCTCCTCGTGTGAACGAGCCGCATCTTTTCACGTGTTTCCAACTACTGCCTCTATGTCGGTAGTTCCCAGATCTAAACCCATAACCCAGTTGTCTCCCGAGCTCCAGATCAGGGTCTCCAGGTACCTCCTGGACATCTCCCCTTGTAGGTCCCACAAGCACCTTACACTCAACTGCTTCTCCTGGGATCCCAGCTTCGCTGTGGCCATAACCAAGGCCCACAGCATCCTGGTCTGTTCCCTTTCCATCATCTGCCAAGTCCTGCCTGTCTCCAATTCTGGCTGATTCTCTCAAATTCAAGTCTACATTGCCCTGCTGTGCCCGGCCCTCTCTTGCCTTCAGGTCTCTGCACACAGCCAGAACGCTTTCAATCTCCCGATTCTTGAATAAATCCCAGCTCAGCTCTTAGCTTACACATCGCTTCCTTCAGGAGAGTTCCCTGACTTTCCCTGGCCAGTGCCGGTGACTCGTCTCTCTGTGCCAGGCTGTGCTTGCTGGCCTCTCGTGGCTCAGTCACAGCCTGTGTCCCTCTCCAGACCTAGTGAGAAATCAGGTCTGTGCATCAACCTACCCAGCACCCAGCGGACTGGTGACTCGTCTCTCTGTGCCAGGCTGTGCTTGCTGGCCTCTCGTGGCTCAGTCACAGCCTGTATCCCTCTCCAGACCTAGTGAGAAATCAGGTCTGTGCATCAACCTACCCAGCACCCAGCGGACGGTGCCCACAGCAAGTGCTCGGTGAACATCCGTAGATGGATGGAGTGATTCTTATTTTCTAACTTACTTGAATTAATCCCAGAGTGATAGACAGGGCTGCCACATGGCACTTGGGTTGCTGTGTGCGAGTGTGTGTGTGATGTATGGCTGGGCTACAAAGCTACTGAGGGAGACCCTTCCCGCCCCCAAACCCCCACCCTTCCTAAGAAGCTTTCTGAGGAACTCATCTTTGAGTCAAGCATTGCCCTCCTTAGGGGCCTTTTTTTTCTTCTTAGTCTGGGTTTGCATTTGAGCTGAGAAAAGACAGCAAGGTGATAGCTTGGTGCCAGAGGGTCCTCCTGCGGCTGGGAGAAACGTGAAGCAACGGAAGGCACTGAACACAACTTTGATCTTGGGGACAAATTAGCCTCAGAATCTCTGCACCAAGCCATTTACGGCCCGGCCAGGTCACTGGGGGCCTGAGCAACGGGCTCACCCTACCCATATGCAAGGGGCTGGGGCCACACTACAAACAGGGGCCCACGTGCCATATTCATACATCTCCATATAGACAGATGATGTATAAATATATATTATATACATATATAGACATTTATCATAAAATTGTTATGGAATTATTTAAGATAATTAGATAATATAATTATTTCTAAAATAATTTATTATACAATTACATATTTTATAAATGTATATTTATTTTAAATAAATTTTAAAAGTATATTTATATATAAATATGTAAATAAATTTTATATATGTTTATGTATCTAAATATCTGTAAGTTACAATTAGGCTAAGAAACTATTAAATAAAATATGCTCTGCTTCCTTGTCAAATATATCTTCATAGCAATTTGGAAGGTCAGATTCAAACTGGGATCCTTGGACCCCTCGGAGTTCTTCACCGGCACATGGTCCTGTGGGTTGAGCCAGCTCCTGGCCCTCAGCCTGTCCCCTTTTTCTTCCCACCTCCTGCTCCACCTCACGCTATAAGGGGCCTTGTAGACGTGCCTGGGGACACCCCAGCCTCCATTTCCAAGGCCCATCTGCACCCACACAAACTGCTGCCTCCGCACTTCCCTGGCACCTAGGGTTGT